CCCGGATTCATCTATCCCGTGGGCCTCGGTACATTCATCATAACTGATCGCTTCCTCAGGCGGCCGTGCCCTCCGCCGCCTGGCCGCTCCGGCGCCGCGTCGCTGTTTCCTGCAGAAGGCGCCTCGTCCTGCTCTTGCAGCCGCCGACGCTTTGCGGGCCGCGCAGAAGGGAAACGGAAGGACGGGTACAGCAACAGATCCCACACCTCGTCGCGGCACGGCTTGCTGCACTGCCACCGCATCTTCGACCCGTGGCACTCGAAGACCCAGGCGAAGCCCTCGCGGAGGTGCATCCCGTCCACGTTCGAGGTGAAGGTGAAGGCGTGCCCGCTCGAGAAGAGGCAGTCCTGCCACGCCCGCAGCGTGCGGTAGCCGGCGGTGCGGCGCGCCTCTTGCGCGTCGTTGAAAAAGGAGCACATGAAGGCGTGAAAGGAGGCTGGGTCGAGGCGCAGCGTCTCGGCCGAAGCCAGCGCCTCATACAGAGGACCAGCGTAGTCGCTGTCGCCATCGTCGCCGCTGCTGCCTCCGACTCGCGCCGCGGATTCCTCACCTGTCGAGCTGTAGGTGCGGTACGTGCTCATGCCGCAGCCAACAGACATGCCCGCCCCGGTGGCGCAGAGCATGAAGTCAGCCTGCAGTAGGAGCCGTGCAGCGGACTCGCACCGGTCCTCACGCAGGCCGTCGAGGAGCGTTGAGTCGGCCTCTGCGAGAGCGGTCAGCTCGGCGGCCTCTAGCGCGACCGAGCTCGCGGCGGCGGCGGAGGCGTGGGCGCCAGCCCACGGCTCCGCGGCCATATGTGCACCCGTATGTACCGAGGCCCGGGTTTCATATCGGAGGGCGCCTGGGTCTAAATGTAGTGCGGTGTGAAGTGTTTATGTACTGCATCTTTAGTGCACTTTAGCGCGAATTTAGTGCGAATTTAGCGCAACTTTAGTGCAAATTTAGCGCAAATTTAGTGCAAATTTAGTGCAAATTTAGTGCAAATTTAGTGCGACTTTACATCCAGATTTAGCGAGGTTTAGTGCGTGCGTCTTTAGTCCAGCCGCGCAGTAGGATCCAGCCGCAGCCCCTCGCTGGGCCTCCCTCCCCCTGTCCCCCTGCAGTCCCCTGCCCACTCGCAAAAGTTCCCCGTCCCGTCCCCAACCGAACGAAGGTAAAACCAGCTGAATATCAACCTCCGGTGCTTTCCGGGTTGCTTCTCCGGGCCCGCCGAGCGGCAAAACGATTGCCGGGAAGCGGGGCGTGAACATAACGACTTTACTGCGATGGCAGAGCAGACGATGGTGGCGCTCGTCTGGTTGCAAGCCCAGGAAGCCCGTCGACGATGCGCATGATCTCCTCGCGGGGCCGCTCGCCGACGACGATCTTGTCGAGGAGGACCTGGTAGACGGCGTTGTTGATCGCAGCGAGGGCGCGCTTGTCCACGTTCGAGACGGAGACGAACCGGTTGAGCTCGGCGTCGTCCACCAG